CATATCACCGTTAGGGGAGCTGCTGAGACCCTGAGCAGGATTACATAAAGATAACATTTTTATGAAAAATAATTGCATTTTACTTCCAAAGGCCTTAGTAGAACATAAAAGTGATGGCAAGATTCGAATGGCAATGCACACGTTCGAGAAACAACTACGAAGACAGCAGCCCTTCATGTACCCTCTCCTGGGGTGCAGGGACCTCAGGAGTCCTTGAAACGGTAAGGACCGACACTGCCCAGCCACCAGCTGAGGAGACGGCCTCAGGGGCACTGCCGTTGTGAGCCGTTGCACCACCTGCACTTGGTTTGTTAGGAAAAAACAACCCTCTGACCAGACCCCAGGCCGCCCTGACTGGGGACTTGAGCCCACGCAGGAGGGAAGGTGTGAGGTAACAACCATCTGTGGGTCTCTGCCCTCGTTCCTGGCAGAGAGCTCCTAAAACCTAAGTGATACGAGCACTGGGAACAGCTTTTATCCAAATGAGGCGACTGTGGGTGGCTGTCTGGGTGTGTCCTGAATGGAGGCCGGTCACCGGAAGACCAGGTGATGAGAAGCTTGGCGTTTCAGCCCAATCCCCCATTCTCCAGAGCGGGGGAGGGGCTGGGAGCAAACTGAAGACTTAATCAGCCTCTGTGATGAAGCCTCAATAGAAATCCCCCCCTCCCCGCCCCCGTGTTCATTGCAACATTATTCACGGTGGCCAAGACATGGAGGCAACCAAAGTGTCCTGCAGTGGAGGACTGGCTTCCCCACTCACACTCGTGTGGCCTTAGGCAGGTCCCTGACCTGTGGTCTCACCGGCAACACGGGATCAATGGGGATGTCTCCTCAGGGTGTTTTCCTGAGGATTAAGATGAGCTTGTGGACGATCAGGTGCTTCCCCGGAACATCGCAGACGCTCCGTCCAGGGCTGGAGGAGGCGCTGGTTGATGTCAGAGGTGACCTACTCTTCACTGTATATTGAACTTCCCCTTCCCCGTGCATCCTAACTGCAGAGAGCAGGTGACAGTAACTGGATGTCGAAAACCCGATGTCTGGCCCCCTCACATTCAGCTCCGCCACCCCGAGCAGGTAGCTGCCAGGTGGGAGCTGATGGAGTGAGTGCAGGGACGACAGCCTGTGAAACGCAGTGCAGGGCGAGGGGGCCACCGGCTCTCTCGTCCTGCAGCCTGATGCCTGCACCCCCCTCCATTCAGGGGCGCTTGCACCCCCCTTTATCCAGAGGCACCTGCACCCCCTCCATTCAGGGGCGCCTGCACCCCCCTCCATCCAGGGGCACCTGCACTCCCCTCCATCCAGGGGCGCCTGCACCCCCCTCCATTCAGGGGCGCCTGCACCCCCCTCCATCCAGGGGCGCCTGCACTCCCCTCCATCCAGGGGCACCTGCACCCCCCTCCATTCAGGGGCGCTCTGCCCGCTCTGCCTCCGTGAGCAGCAGGAGAGAGCCAGGGCCCTGCTCCCTGCGCTGCGTTTCAGAGGCTGTCCCTGCACCAGCTCCTCGGCTCCTGCCTGGCACGGCCCCTCGGGCAGACTCGGAAGCCGGCGGAGCTGACAGCCTTCCAATCACTGAGCAGACCCTCCACGTGGGGAATGAGGCTCAGGGGACAGCAGGTCATGGTTTCAGTCAATCCTGTGTGTTTGTTTTAAAGAAAAAGCAGCCGCCGCAGCCGCTCGTCAGCTCAGTCCACACGCCCACTGGCCCGCCAGCCAGGAGCTCTCCTGGGAATGAGCAAGGTGGGCGCGTGGGCACTGAACGGTGAGGAATGTCAGGAAAGGAGCAGACTCTGGGAGGAGAAGCTGGAGGGACCGGGAGGCATCGCGGTGTATAAAGTCGGGAGGTGGGAGGAGCAGGAGTCACAGGGCATTAGCGAGAGCGTCCTGGCAGGAAACAGCCTTGGAGGAGAGCAGGGCAACCGGAAGCTCTCGTAAGCCAGCGACCTGACCCTGGTTAAGTGCTGGGCCTATGGCCCGGCCGCGTGGCTCAGTGGTTGAGAGCTGACCTATGAACCTGGAGGTCGAGGTCAGGGTTCAATTCCCGGTCAGGGCACATGCCCGGGTGGCGGGCTTGATCCCCAGTAGGGGGGGTGCAGGAGGCAGCCGATCAATGGTTCTCTCTCATCACGGACGTTTCTCTCTCGCCCTCTCCCTTCCTCTCTGAAATGAGGTGGAGGACGGGAGAAACTTCGTCTCCTGCTGGTGAGTGTGAGCTGGAACGCCGCCTCGTGCCCCTGGACTGGGACCTTGTTCTTGGGCCCCTGGTTCTTGGGCCTTGAACCCAAACTGGAACTTACCCCCAGCTCTCCTGCTCCCCCTCCCCCACGTCTACAGACGGCAGATCGCAGGACATCTCAGCCTCCATAATTACACGAATTATTTATTAAACTTTCTCACAGTGAATCTCATTATAGCTACACCGTTGGTTCTGCTTCTCAGGAGAACCCGGACCCACACGTAGAGAAAACTCAACTCGCTCCAGCCTGGCTGGGGATCCCCAGACCGGAGTCCCCGGTGAATTATCCAAGAAGCTGCTCGGCTGCTCTGAGGGACGCTCAGCCCAGTCTCAAGGCCGGAGCCATGGAGGAGCCGCAAGGCGTCAGGGGCCTCCACGCGAGAGGACGGAAGAGAAAGACAGCACATGTGCATCTGGGCGTCGGAAGGTGGCCCAGGTCCAAGTGTCATTCCTGGGAAGGATTTACACGCGAAGCTGAAGAACAGCCAAGCCTCCGTCCAGCAGCCTTCGCATTGCATTGCCTCGACCCCCTCCCCGGGGCAGAGTGAGGAAACAGGGTACGTTCCAGGGACCCGCAGGCACGGCTCACCACCACAGGGCCCTGGCGCCCCTCACACCTCCACCTCGGCGTCTACAGGCAAGAACGAGCCGGGGAGCAGTGGGAGCCACAAGGTGTTGGTGCCTCAGATGCTGAGTGTCCCTGGGACCTGGCTGCTGGGACCTGGGACGCCCCTTACTCAGCTGGGGCAGGTCCGGGGCAGTGGGTCCTGTTGGTCCTCCTTACTGCCCAAGGTGGCCCAGCCCTGCCACCCACACCCCCAACTTGACTGGGGGGAGAGCGGTGTCGTGTCCTCCGGCGACTTCGCCTCCTAACGAAGCTGGGTCCAGCTACCACTGAAGTGACTCAGCATTTCCCAAGCAGCCAGCAGGCTGGAGAGGCGCCCCAGGCCCTCGGAGGCGTGAGGAGCGAGCAGGGAGGGAGACGGCGGTTGGAGACCCCGATGGCCATTACTCAGGGTTGTTTCTGAGTTTTATGCAAAAGGGAAAGGAGAAACACATCTTTCTGAGGACGCGCACACCAGGTACGGGTCAGAGAAGCACAAAGGAAGGCCGTACGTTCCTACGGCTGCGCCAGCTGAGGCCGGGCACCCACTCAGGGCTTGGACACTTTCCAGAGGAGGGTTTTGTGAAACACTGTTGGATCATGATTGATCGATCAATTGATTGATGGATTGATTTCTCTCCTTCCTTTCACCCATTTATCAACCCATGAATCTATCCATATCCCAAAAGATGTCTATTACAGAGGACATGTGGTGATGTGAGCTTTCATGTTTAGAATACACGTAATATCCTGAACGATCTTTGGGCCCAAATTGGAAGTCTGAGCTAAAAGCCAAAGGTCTGAAACAGACACAAGGCACCCACACAATGTTGCCCATGGGGGTGAGGAGGGGCTCATGGGTCGACGCTCAACCACTGAGCCACGCGGCCAGGCGTGATGCATTTGTTTACCGTTGTGTCCCCAGTGCCTGGCACCGCGTCCAGCATGAAGCCCTTCAGTGAATATGACAAAGCGAACGCGCAGGACAGCCTGGAACCTCTGGCAATAAACAGCAACACGGATAACGACATCCATTTAAAGGGCCACACCAAGTACCTGACACACGAGGGGATCAAATAAGACAGCGCACCCGAACGCTTAGGAACGGCGGGCGCTGCAGGAACGCTGGGGTCAGCATCGCTTATCCCCGTGGTCGGCAAACCGCGGCTCACGAGCCACATGCGGCTCTTTGGCCCCTTGAGTGTGGCTCTTCCACAAAATACCACGTGTGGGCGTGCACGTACAGTGTGATTGAAACTTCGTGGCTCATGCACAGAAGTTGGTATTTTGTGGAAGAGCCGCACTCAAGGGGCCAAAGAGCCGCATGTGGCTTGTGAGCCACAGTTTTCTGACAACTGGCTTATCCCAACCCTCACCCACAAGAACAGGCATCATCTCCCCACTTACCACAGGGGGGTTGTCACAGAGCTGATGCCAGGCAGGGCCGGGCACTGCCATCCTTCCAAGTCCCGTTCTCTCCACCACACCTCCCTGCACCCCTCTCTCCACCACACCTCCCTGCACCCCTCTCTCCACCCCACCTCTGCACCCCTCTCTCCAACACACCTCCCTGCACCCCTCTCTCCAACACACCTCCCTGCACCCCTCTCTCCACCACGCCTCCCTGCACCTCATTCACACTATTTAGTCTTGGCCTTAAGGCTGGTTCCAGCTGGAACATCTATAATAGATCACATATTGTGTGGAGGTATACATGTATACATGTGTGTGCTACATAGTGGTACAGACACACACACACACACACACACACAGACACACACAGTACCGTCTCCCAGGGGATAAACTCGAGAGAACCCTGAGATACAGGGCAGCGGCCCAGTGAGCACCGTCCAGTGCCTGAGTCCCACGGACACTGGTGAAGGTCACGTGTTACACCTGCCCGGCTCGCAGCAGCAGCACCAACATTTCTAAACGCTGGAGCCTCGCCCACCCCTTGTCCCTCCAGCGGAAGGTCCTGTTTGTGAGCCGACGACCCCCACAGTGAGGACAGTGAACTGCGCCCAACACTGCGCCCAACACTGCCGCCCTCACTGTCCCCGCCGCCGTCTGACCCCGCAGGGCGACCGGGAACCGCGGGGGAACCCGTGTCCCAGGCACTTACAGGAGGAGTGGATGCTGGGGAAGCTCTTGCGGCCCTCGGACACCAGCTCGGGGTCCCCTGTGCAGTGCATCTCCGCGTTCATCACCCCATCTGGAAAGCAGCGGTGAAAGAAATCGGGGCGCGGTCTACAAAAGACACCACGGACACATTCCATATAAACGCTGCCGT